GGCGGCAACACTAAGCCTATAAATAGGCATGCAATATATCAAAGCAAGGGGAGTGGAGTGGAGAGACATCCACCAACTCCCAATCTATGGGGGGTCAACCAATAGAACTCCCAATTTATGTGGGAGCACAAAAGCTACCCAACCCAAGTTATACGGAGGAGTTCAACAAAAAAGAACTTCCAAACCAGATATGGAGTTCAACAACAAAAGAACTCCCAAACCATTAGGGAGCCAAGAGCTACCCAAAGTTAGCTATGTTGAAGAGTCAATAAGCTCACCAATCTAAGTGAAGGGCCAAATAGCCCAAAACTAATCTAAATCAAGTGTGGTGGCCAATAAGCCAATATGCTAAGTGTAGAAGACCAATTAGCCTATATCAAGCTATGTACTATTCTCCTCAAATCTAATAAAATCACTTCGTTTTCCCTTATAAATCTAACACAACAAAACTCCTTTACTCCTCCTTATAGTGAAATCGAATACACCAAAATTTTCTGATGGGTTGATGTCATGTCAGGAAAGAAAGAAAGGAGTCTGATATCTGAGCACGAGAAAGCTTCTACTGATAAAATTGCTAAACTGGAAGAGTCCTTGAAAAAGAAGAAGCAGGTACTACCCCCCTCTCTCTTACTTGAAAATAAAAAAAAGAAGCTTGTACTGATATCTCCATGTATATATATATATATTTGTGCAAACATGTCTCAAAACTACATTTTCTATTTATAAACTCAGGATGATAGAACTTTCAGCGTTCTGAGAAAGACTCTTGGCTCATTTCTGGAGAGTACTTCAGACGAGGACATCCCGGTTGATGGTTGAATGAACATTCAACTGTTTGAGCTCAAGTCTCCATTTACTTTTTCCCCCTGAAAGATGTTACGTTTATTAATACTTGCAATAAGATATGGTACATGGTTCTGCCATAGGTGTAAAGTTGAATTTCATATATAGTACCACGTTATTACATGTTGCACGTGCAAAATGTTTAAAATTAGTCACAAATTTATTCACAAATTTTGCTCTGTACAATTTCTACGCACGCCTCACATAAGCAGTTTAATGAACAGCATTGGCAGGGGGAGGTGGTTGCCCCTGTTGAACAGACCATGGAGGGCGCTTGTTGTGTTCCTACAGATAAAAACATTTCACATCCAGTCATACATATGAAACACAAGCAAATGCATTTTGATCTATTTACAACTTCTATATATAATATACAAATGACAGTACATGTTGTTTCAATTATTCTCCCTTATAACAAGTACTATTACCAATGAAAGAATAACATGACGTCTATAAATGTGAAAGTCTACAAATCCCATGACCTCTTCTAATTTTTATTTCAAAGGAAATCTGTCTTCTTCTTTTTGGAGGGGGGAGAGGAGGATAAGAAATATAATCTCATCATCAGGCAGTTTTTTCAAAGCATCTCATCCCTGTCCTCTGTAATTCCTTGATAACCATGGAAACAAAGTTTTCGCCAATAACTTCTTACAAAATTTCTGATTTCGCATACGAACAGAGAAAAAATAAGTATTTTCATGTAATTCCAGAGATTATCCCCAAAATTTCTCTTGAACACTAGCCTATTGGCAGTGAGACTCTTAATGGTTTCAATGTGTCCACAGCACATTGTTTACTTACTCCAATTTCTTCCACAAACTGACAAGAGGAACACCTGACGGATGAAGCTCCATATGCATACATCAGCAACACTGCACAACTACCACATTTAACTTGTCCAACCTGATAAGCTGATTGCATAACTATTGCATAAACGATTACTCGATTTTAAGTCCATTGGCACTTGTGGTTTAGTGCTGAACTTTGCACACTGCATATATATGGACCTTCGAAATTGGATAACACATTTTTCAAGAAAAAAACTTGATTGCATGACCCTAATCAACTCAAAAGATCAGGTGTACATATTCTATATTTCATGTTAGTTTAGATCACGCATTATTTTGGGGTCATGCACTGCCTCTTTGAAAGAAGTTCAATGCAACTGCAATCTCTCTTTCTCCTTTTACATTGTTATCAAATTTTGGCAATACTTGCGCTAGGTGTACAGTATCATAACAAGATTACATGAAGTGAGAAAACCTACAACAATTTTGGAAAAGGAAAAAGAGGAGAGAATGAGACTGAAAACGTTGCTTACTAGGTACACTAAGGGCCCGTCTGGTAACGTTTTCGGAGAGTGTTTTATGAGAATATTTTCAGAGAATGAAAACAAGAAAACAAATTCGCATTTTCAGGAAATGAAAATGGGTCTGGTAGATTAATTAGAAAACATCTTTAGAAAACAAAAACAATGAAAACGTGTCTGGTAGTACAATTTGAAAATAATAATATGTGAGTTATTTTCAAGTGTATTTTTGCTAATTTC